TCCTTTTTTTTTGGGGGGGGGGGGTGGTTATGTGTGTGCTCTCTTTCTTCCCTGTTTTTCTTCTTCTTCTTTTTCGCGTTTTTTTTGTGACATTTTGAACCTTTTTTTTTCTTTCGGTCCTTTCGGAATCATTTCTTTTTTTGCGAATTTTTTTGACGGCCTCATTTTCCATTTACAGAAACTTTCATTGTCTTTGTTGTGATATGTGTGCTATGTCTCCTCCATGTTTTTTTCCTACTCTTTTTTTTACTGCTTATCCACACAGATGCTGAGTGTGACTGTTGGCTCAGAGAATGACAACAGCGATCTGAACGTAGCAGACGGGCCTCCAGACACACGGGACAATGCGGAGCTAAGGAGGCCTCAGAAGGTTGCTGAGTTTGTTTCCCGGAAATTGCCAAAACCAATTGATTTACCTGGTTATCAGAGTCCTACCCGCTCCTCTCCAACCTGAGAGTTGCTGTTGTTGTTTGTGTTGTTCTTCATGTGTTGTTCTTGTTCTTGTTCTTGTTTTTGTTCTTGTTCTCGCTGCTGCTGTTGCTGCTGCTGCTGCTGTTGCGGCTACTGTTCTTGCTGTTGTCGGTGTTGTTGCTGTTGTTGCTGCTGTTRCTGTTRCTGTTGCTGTTGTTGCTGCTGTTACTGTTACTGTTGCTGTTGTTGCTGCTGTTACTGTTACTGTTGCTGTTGTTGCTGCTGTTACTGTTGTTGCCGCTGTTGCTGCTGTTCCTGCTGTTGCTGCTGTTGCTGTTGTTGCTGCTGTTGCTGCTGTTACTGTTACTGTTGCTGCTGCTGTTGCGGCTGTTACTGCTGCTGCTGTTACCGCTGCTGTTACTGTTGCTGCTGTTACCGCTGATGTTGTTGCTGCTGTTACTGTTACTGTTGCTGTTGCTATTGTTGCTGCTGCTGTTACCGTTACTGTTGCTGTTGTTGCTCCGGTTGCGGCTGTTACTGTTGCTGTTGTTGTTGTTGCTGCTGCTGCTGCTGCTGTTACTGTTGCTGTTACTGCTGCTGCTGTTACCGCTGTTGTTACTGTTGCTGTTGTTACCGCTGATGTTGTTGCTGCTGTTACTGTTACTGTTGATGTTGCTATTGTTGCTGCTGCTGTTACCGTTACTGTTGTTGTTGTTGCTCCTGTTCCGGCTGTTATTGTTGCTGTTGTTGTTGTTGCTGCTGCTGCTGCTGCTGCTGCTGTTGCTGTTGTTGTTGCTGTTACTGTTGCTGTTGCTGTTACTATTGCTGTTCTGTTACTGTTGCTGTTGCTATTGTTGCTGCTGTTGCGACTGTGTTACTGTTGCTGTTGTTGCTGTTGTTGCTGTTGCTGTTGCTGTTGTTCCTGCGCTGTTCTGTTACTGTTGCTGTTGCTATTGTTGCGATTGTTGCTATTGTTGCTGCTGTTACTGTTGCTGTTCTGTTACTGTTGCTGTTGCTATTGTTGCTGCTACTGTTGTTGTCGCTGTTGTTGTTGCTACTGTTGTTGCTACTGTGTTATCGTTATTGTTGTTGCTGTTGCTGCTGCTGTTGTTGCTGTTGTTGCTGTTGTTGTTGTTGTTGTTGTTGTTGTTGTTGTTGCCAGGCAGATCTACCGTAGGCAGAGAGGGAGAAGAGGACAACAAACGAGGGGCTGTGACAAACTGTTTCGTCGGAGTTTCACCGACTCGTCAGAAGGCTGAACCCTCAACAGCCTATATATTGTGACGATATATATATCGTCATATATATCCGAGTGGCGCGGGATCACTTGCCCGGCCAGGCCACAAAAGATAATAATAATAATAATAAAGAAATAAATATATATATTTTTTCTTTTAATTTGGTAAAGAATTTCAATGTGACCCTGAGGCAAAAGGCATTCAGTTTATTCTTCTGCATAACACGGTTTTCTTTCAGATTTCTTCGATGTTTTTTTATTTTGTTTTTTTTGCTGGGACCTACTTTGGCCCTTGCACAGACGGCCCGGGCAATAAGGTCACCCGGCCGGCCCAGCTGGTAGCCTAGGTCATATATATCGTCACAAACAGAACTGCCCGGTAAACCGTGGGCAGAGAGAGAGAAGAGGACAACAAACGACGGGCTGTGACAAACTGTTTCGTCGGAGTTTCACCGACTCATCATGTGTATATTACTATATTCTCTCACCTCAGATATTTTCAGTTTTTTTTTAACTGGCTTAAGCCTTCTCATGGAACACATCTTTATCCTGTCACTACCTACCACTACTCCTAAGGCTATACAGGGGACCCCTGCAAGCATACCTTTTTTTTTTCTTTTTCTTTTTTTTTTTTTTTTTGGGAAGGGCATCCAGTGTCATATGATCCAGGCACACCGGCCTGGTTCAAGCATATACCTTTCTACCTCTCTTCGGCGAAAGAATAGTACTTTTTTCTTTCGCCTTTTCCTACGACCTTAGGCAGCTGGTTTGAAAAAAAATAAAAAAATTCAAAAAAAATAAAATTCATGATTAAAAATAACATTTGTTTTTTGCTATCTATCCTCATGCTAGTTTCTTCATCTTTTCTTTATACAGATATATATAAACATTAAATAACGATATCCATGGCTTTGTTTCTGTGTTTCCATCGGTGTGCTCTGTACAGCAACAGCAACAAGAACAGCAACAGCAAAACCAGATGGTGAACCTGGAACAAAAAACGGACGACCAGGTACAGCAGATGAACCAGAGGGGAAACCTGCAGCCAGGCCAGAAGCAGAGCCAAGAGGAGCCGATGGTAGTGTCAAGACAATGGCCGACAAGTGGTCCCCCACCGGCGTTGGATCAGCTATTAGATCATACGGTGGCGGCGGAGGCTTGTCGGTCTCATCCCCAAGAACGCATCGTTTAGGGATTTTTCCACACCAAGCTGTTTTCTTTACAGGTATGATGATGATGTCTCCAGATATCACAAAAGTAAATAAATAAATAAAAACCCTGTGAAAGTCTCTAGCTAGCACACTCTTCTTTTCAGCGTAGATGTTAAAATATATATTATATATAGATAAGAAAAAAAGACTCTTCTCTCAGGTCCTCTGGGACACCCATTAAAATTGGAATTTGGAACGATATAGAGGGAAAAAAAAAAAAAAAAAAAAAAAAAAAAGAAGAAGAAGATTAGCACGGCCCAAGGATGAATTTTCCGTCCCAGATGGCCTGCCTGGGTCAGGATTGAGTGTGACCCGGTTGATCTGGATGCATCTGACTGCAATTGCGTACAGATCCAGACACGGAGTGTCTTGACCCACGAGTAGAGGGAGGACCGTCGAAATTTATTGAAATGCATCCTCAGCTCTGGTCTGATATTTCCACTGCAGGGTATGATGCCCTAAACACACGTTGTTCAGTAACTACTGTGAAGGCGCCTGTGAACCAGCAGGCAGTTGGCCCGCAAGAGTGAGCAGGTTAAGTAGCGGTGGTGGGGCTACGTGTTGTTCAACGGAGTGTGCGTGATTGTCAAGTCCGTTGTGTGGTGTGCGTTGGGTGTGTGGTGTTGAGTTCAAGGACGCTGCAGCCCTGGAGGTGGGCTGGATATCACGACCGGTATGGATCCAGCTTTGATAACACCTCCAAGGGTTGTAGTGGTTATGATACTTCGTTCCTGTGGCGGAGGGTGCCGGTTTGAGGCCGTCCGTGCACGGCAGGGTATGATGCCCTAAACACACGTTGTTCAGTAACTACTGATATTTCCACGTTTCTCTTTTGCTTTTTTGTTTGCTATAGACGTCTGAATCGTCGGATCTTTTCTTTGTTTTTCTTCCTCTTTTTTTCCTTTTTTCTTTTTTTGATTTTTGATCCCCTCATCTCCGGTCTGATGTCTCATGTCTTTTTAACATTTTCTTTTTCTTAAAAAAGTTAATAAATAAATAAAAAATAAAAGCTCTGAATCATCTGATCTTTTTTTTTCTTTTCCCTTTTTAAGGTCTGCTCTTACAGGTCAGTGGGGTTCTTCACATGCTGATTGAGGCGAAATGTGAGCGAATCGCTGCGTCTGTGTGGTGCGTCCGTGTGGTGTTGTCCGTGTGGTGTTGTCCGTTGTGTGTGTGTTGAGTTGGATACCGCAGTTTTTTTTTTCTTTTTTTTCTTTTTTGTGTGTGTTAAGCAAAGAGTCATTATTACCGCAGTTTCACAGGGTGTGCTGCCTGTAGTGGTTAAGCGACTTGGCTCTTGAGGCCATGGTCGCCGGTTCGAATCCATGCTTGCTTGCATGGAGGAGGCCGTTGCTTGCACGAACTTGATAAGAAGAAGGGAGGAGGCGCCACACTCACGTCTTTGAGCCCACAGACAACTAAACCAAACCAACGTGAAAGTATAACAGGAGCCCCCCAGACAAACCATGACAGCACAACAACCGCAGATAGGAAACAGGCCCAAACACTACACGCTGAAGCCAAAGGAGCCCGAACTGTCAGTGGTGTCACGGAATGTCAACGGGTTAGCTACAATATTGGCCAACATAGACAAATGGGACAACATGACCAACTACCTATCTAAGAACCCTCCAGACGTAGTATGTCTACAAGGAACTCACCTCACAGACTCCCCAGCACACAAGGCAATAATCAGAAAAATACTCCTAAGATTAAAATATGTACGAGCAGCAAGTTGGCCCCCGGCCCCAATAGCGGGGTCCGCAGGTACAGCCATCCTATGGCAGAACAACTCGAAGGTAGCCAAACTAATACAACTACAAAAAAAAAAAAAAAAAAAAAAAAAAAAAAAAAAAAAAAAAAAAAAAAAAACCCTACGACTCAACAGAACAGACATAGAACACGGTCGTTGGATAGAAACAATTTTCACCTTCAAAGAAGAATCCTTTCAAGTCATAAACGTCTACGCACCGAATGATCCGACTCAAAGACAACTCTTCATTCACAGCATAATGACATTATGCAGCGATCAAAATCATATAATACTGGCCGGAGATTGGAACACAACCCTGGACCCAGCCAGAGACAAACTGTCATGCTCCCAAATAGAAAGGGAAAATCAACTCCAAACGGAGGCGCAGGCAATGCACAGGCTAATAATAGAAAGGAATCTACTTGAACCACTTTGAACACTTCACACAGATGTAAACAGATTCACATACAGGAAAAGAAATAGAACCCAACACATCACCTACTCAACCATAGATTTCTTCTTGATATCAGAATCCCTCAGAGGTTCTATACTAAAAGCAGGTATAGGAAAACTATCCGACCACAACAGACTAGATCACAGCCCAATCATCATAGACTTAATTTTCGACCCTGGTTTGCAAAAAGGGCCAGGTTTCTTCAAGATCAACAACTCTATACTCCACACCAACGAAATGAAACACGCCATAGCACAAGCCTACATCGACTCAGAACAAACAAAAGTAGACTTCTCAATTCTAACCTCTAACCTATCTAGAGCTGCATCATCAGCCTCAGGGAAGTTAGCAGCAAAAAGAAATCAAAGAATTAAGGAGCTAGAGGCAGCAGTCAGTATTGCGAATCAAATCTATGGAGCAACCCTGAATCCATGGACTACGAAGACCTACTAACTAGAGCAAGATCAGAACTAGCCAACTGAAATGCTTGGAAAGCAAACGGCATCATGATGAGACTCAGAGCTAGATTAAGGGAATGGGAAAAAGGAGAAAAAATGACAAAATTGAAATTTCTTCTTTCAGAAAATCAAGGCACGAGGTAGGAACTCAACCATTAGTCAACTTAGAGGAGAGGAAGGCCTAACTTCCAACCCAATGAAAATGCTCTCCATAGCTGAATCCTTCTACAGGGAACTCTATGCTTCCAAGACAGAATCGCCCACCCCTAGAGCAATCCTTCAAGCAATAGAGAAGTTTAGCAAGTACTTGAACAAAACCATTACTCACGAGACAAAACCATTACTCACGACATGGCAGAGGAACTAGACCAACCAATCACAAACGAAGAAATTAAAAAAGCCCTAGATTCCATGAAGTAAGACAAAACACCAGGCATAGATGGGCTCTCAAAAGAATTATGGCAAGTCTACTGGTCACTCTTAGGAGATGAATACTGGCACTTCGTAAGAGCAGCATGGAACAAGGAAAGCCTAGAACCTGAACTTAGCACCGGCATAGTCACATTACTCTACAAGAAGGGTGACCCAACAGACATCAGAAACTATAGGCCTATCACACTACTAACAGTAGCTTACAAGATCTTGGCAAAATTACTAGCCAACAGGATTAGAAACATCACAAAAAACTGCTTTCACATAGATCAAACAGGTTCCATCCCAGGATGGTTCATCCTAGATAATGTGATGTCCCTAGCAAAATCGGTCAGATTTATCCAAGACAAGAAATTGAATGCAGCAATCCTCTTTTTTGACTTTGAAAAAGCTTACGATCAGGTCAACTGGGACTTCTTACAAAAATGCATGGAAACAATGGGAGTAGGACCCAACTTCAGAAAATGGGTGAGAGTTTTATACAACGATGCGATGGGAGCAGTTCAGGTCAATGGTCACATCTCCAACAAATACAAAATGACCCGATCAGTAAGACAAGGTGACCCGCTAGCAGCCCCATTTTTCCTCTTTATCATGGAGGCCATCACCTCTTTCTTAGGAAAGACCCCACTATCCACAGACGCACTGAACAAACAGAACCCAACTCGCACAAATACCACATCCCCCCCACAATTTTGTTTGCCGGCGATCTAACCGTACTCATAAGAGCATCCCCCTCATCCTTCGAAGCACTTACCAGAGCAATGTGTGCATTCCAACTAGCCTCTGAAATGCGCATCAACTGGAACAAGACAGTAGGCTGGTGGTTAACAAAGGAAGGCAGTGACCCACACCTGAAATACACTAGAAGGTATGACATGGGCTAACCCCAATGACCCACTCAGAGTCCTAGGAATACAGATGTCTATTCAGGGGGCTGTAGCAGAAATGGCACCCAGTCTGCTAGCCAAAATGGCCACCAAACTCAAGGATTGGGGGAGAATACACACCTCACTACACGGCAGAGCATTAGTGTTGAATGTGTCAATCTACTTGATGATGTGGTACGTCGCAGCATTCTGGACCCCAGACCAAAAAACCCTAAAAGACTTACATAAGAAAGCAACAGCTTACCTATGGACAGGAGACGCATCACGACAAAGCTTCATCACAAAGGTGGCTTGGCAATACGTAACAAGAAAGAAGAGCCAACGGGGCTTAGGCGTCATTGACCCAACTAACCAAATAAAAGCTCTCCAAACTAAGTGGATCATAAAGCTTCTAACGAGCCCCAACCTTCTGCAGAGACCACTGACTCTAGAAGGGTTACAACAGATTCCATCCTACAAGACACCAGAAAACATGGAGGGTACATTCTAGATAACAAGTACTAAATCTTGGACTATTAAAAACAAACTCCAAAACGAACCTAGACTGAACTTCTGGAAGGGGCTATTGAAGGCATGGAGAGAGATCTTCCTGGCGAAAGTAAGGAAACCAACAAACAAAGAACTCCGTAGACAACCTCTCTTCTGTAATCCCTGGATAACCAGCAACGAAAACACACCCTTCACTCTCACCTCAAAGGACACAAGATGGGGCACCTGGTTAGAGAGAGGCATCTGGCAAATCAAACACATCTGGGATGACCCTAAAAAAGAGTGGCTCTCGGCCAGACAACTCAGAAAAACTCAAGGGAAGCCACAACCTGGCCCAAAGCCTCCAGCTGATAATAAAGGCCATTCCGGTGGAATGGTCAATAAACACTTAAAAAAGACAAACAGTGGACAAAGGGAGACTGGGCGGTCATGACACACACAAAACCCATAGAACACGCACTTGCCTTTATAAGAAAGGAAGACGGTAGAAACAACTGGCTCACTTTCTCCATGCACAGGCTAGAGGAGCCAGGCGCAGATTATGGCAAACTACTAAACAAAGAATCCATAGCACAGGTGACAGTCAGAGAAAGTAATCTTAGAAAAATTAAAAAATCAGAGTAATAGAAAACGAAGACCTCACCTTATTCCACCCTCAAACTTTCAGAGAAGACCTAGAATTTGACCCAGCAGAATGGGCATGGAATCTAAAACAAAACGTCACAAAAATCGTTTGAAAAATCAACCCGATCAGCTACACCAGCAAGCTAGGTTATAAACTAAGACGGAGATCAACAGCCCCAGAAACAATCGTAGAGGACAGCTGGAATAGACACCTAAGAGATAGACTCGGAAAATTTAAAAGAAATACCTTGGAACCAAATAGCTACCCTACATCCCCCCAAGTTCAAAAGTTTACAATGGCTAATTATAATATGCTTAGCAATCCCACTCAACCAATGGCTGAACAATAGAAGAAGAAAAGAAGACAGAAACCCCTTAAATGAACTGTGTGGCAATTGCATAGAAGGACAGATAGAAGACCTGTTTCACTGCAGCTTCCTGCAATGCCCCAGGATCCAACCCATATGGAACAGGATCACGCAGATTCGGGCCTCAATAACTGGCACAAACTTCACAACAAACCCTACCCTTATTCTTTCAGGATTCACAACTCCCGAAGACTGGCCCCCCCTTCAAAACAACCTATTCCAAATTCTGCGCAAGGCACAATATGGTCCATCGGGAGGAAACGCTGCCAAGACACGATCATAGACAAACAACCAATGCATGTGCAAGAAGCTTGGTGTATCCTCAGACAGCAAGTAGAAACCGAATATTGGGTACTCTGGCGCAGGGTCAAGAGAAAGATGAAGGCCAACGAGCCCAAAGCTAAGGAATTTCAAACTAAATTCGAAGAGAACTACCTGGACAAAGGCAAGATAGCAATCATCAAGGGTCAGAGCCTAATCTTTAAAATGTGGAATGACCCAACTCAGACCAACAATCCAGACTTAGAACCATTGATTAGCACACCAGACACAACCAGCATTCGGATCAATTGCTTCTAAGTTCTAACCCACTATAGACATCTCAAACTAAGGCACACAAACGGAACGATTAACCCCCAAGGAGACTACCCCAACAACATAAACAGGAACATCAGCTAATCACGGACCTTACTAAAAGACGGTATGCCAAACCTTAAACCCCCACAGTCATCTTCGGTGTCAAAAGAAATCACACTACCCCAACCCCACCTCAACCCATGCAAACCCCTCACAGCGCGTTCATTTCTAGCCCAACTACTTCACTCTAAACCTCCCTAGTTCCAAAACACCACCCCCAGACAACACAACCCCCTCCCAAACATGTCAAAAGAAACCTCACTACCCCAACCCCACCGCAACCCATGCAAAACCCTCACAGCGCGTTCATTTCTAGCCCAACTACTTCACTTTAAACCACCCTAGTTCCAAAACACCCCCCCCAGACAACACAACCCCCTCCCAAACACAATAGGCACCCAACCTCCCAAACCTAAACCTACACACACAAGATCATCCCAACCCAGCACTCTAATACCAGCTATACCCCACTTGCAGCTACCAAAAGGCAGCACTAATTACTAAAGACAGAAAATTCAGGAGAAATCACAAGAAGAGAGGTCACACACTTAGCCAACAGGCTAGCTAGAGCTGTTAGGGTTTAGGGTTTTAGCACTAGTCATAACTGGTTAAAGGGCAAGTTTAAAGGATAGGTTAAGGTTTATAAGCACTCATAGGCAGCAGTAAATAGAAAGGAGAGGGCATAGGACCATGTGAACTCAAAGAGGAGGGTCATGTCTGCAGTTCTAGCGCTCAAAGTAAATCAGGCAGTCAAGAGCTGATGAGAGGAACAGGTGAGACGAGACCCATCCAATCAATTTCATAGGTATTTGCAGCCAAACGTAAGAAAGTAGGCTAACTTAGGCAGGGGTGAGGGTATGTACATCCTTCCAGAAAGAAGTAATCAATGCCGTCCCTCGGACTTCCCTACCATAAAGGGGTTGGGCGTGTGTGAGTCGTTCATGTACTTCTTCCTTTGACTTGCTGGTAGAATGGGAACCGGACTGATGCTCCCCAGAATGGAAAAGGAGCCAGAGCCATAAGGTTCTGTTTAGTTGGGAAAAAAAGGAAAAAAAAGAAAAAAGAAAAAAAAAGAAAGGAAAAGAAAAGAAGAAGAAGAAGAAGAAGAAGGGAGGAGGAGGAGGAGGAGGAGGAGAAGGTAGTGTGTAATGAACTGAGTCTTTTTCCTGGTCTTCCAATGTGTAGTGTGTAATGAACTTTAAGTCCTTTTCCTGGTCTCATCTGTTTTGCTGCAGGTGCAAATTAAAAAAAAAAAGACTAAGTTAAACTCATCTGTTTTGCTGCAGGTGCAAATAAAAAAAAGACTAAGTTAAAACTGGGAAACGCAGGCTGCACGAGGCACACTGGCAACAACCGGCAGACTTCCGGAGTCTTACCTTATCTTCCAGCTAGGCACACGGAGAGGAGGAGAGAGCGGCTTACAGAAAGCCCGAAAGTTTATTTGAGGGATTTAGTGCAGCGGGCCACCATAGCTGCAGATGGAGAGGGGCATGCAGTGGCCGCCAGAGCTGCACCACATCCCGCGGATTGATTGATACATATCTGCCTCCCGAGTCGATGACCGATCACCAAGTCTTAGAGCGAATTTGACAGACCAAGATCACACTCTGACTGTGCAGATCGATGACATTGTTTGGGAAGAAGCTCAACGTCGCTTGATCAAACGAAAATAAATGAGAGGGAGACAAAACAAGGAGGTTGGAGCCTGGAGGAGATTTGGTAGCAGGAGGAGGCGGAGGCGGAGGCAGAGATTGTACCAGACATTCATTCATTCCCGCTCGGTCACTTACGGCAAGACTCAATCGAATCCAAGGACGGAGATTTCGCCAACCATTCATCCACATTGAAGCAGCAGCAGGAGGAGGAGGAGGAGGAGGAGGCAGAGATTGTGCCAGAAATTCATTCATTCCCGCTCGGTCACTTACGGGAAGACTCGATCAAATCCAAGGACAGAGATTTCGCCAAACATTCATCCACATTCGCCCATGTTCGATCGGTTATGCCAACGTTTGATCGGATAAAAGGGTGAAAGAAGATTACCAGACCGTCATCCGCATCCGATCAGTAATCCCACCACCATTTCGATTGAATCGAAATGTGTTTTCTTGTTCACACAACACACTGCGAAAGGATGTTAATATCAACAACACGCTTGTCCTCCCCCCTCAGACAGATTATTTACTCACAGTGGGGTACAATGCTGACAAGGTCAACACGACACAAAGAGTCAAAGACCAGCGAGACGGGGGTTCGATCGTATGACATGTGATGCACACGTTGACGCTACAGTTGTGGATACAGTACAGTTCCCGCCAAAAATCTCGGCATTGTGGGTATGGATGCCTAGACTTTTGGCGGCAGCCGTTTGGTACTTCATTTAGGAGCAATCTGACACAAGAATGGCTGCCATCTTCTCATCCAAATAGAACGCCTGGTCATTTAACCTGTATTTCCTCCCTGAAATAGCGAAGAAGCATCTATCTTCTCAGCTTGGTCGATAGCTCGGAAGGAGCCCCATCGATGATATATAGCTACTTCGCATATCATGTCATAGGACGGAGATTCAAATCGTCGGACGTTAGCATAGACTGTACCACGCCTCATAGCGGCTGCGGATCTGGCAACAAGTGGGTGGTCCCCACCATCATAGAGTAGGAGACTAACGAAGTGGGTGGTCCCCACCATCATAGAGTAGGAGACTTACGGACATAGCGGCTGTGAATTTGGCAACAAGTGGATGGTCCCCACCATCACAAAGTGTTGCCACATTACAGTGATTACACAGCTGCTGCGAATTAATCACGATACAGTCCCGGTGCAATGTAACAGATGCACCATACCCATCAGTAGAGAGAGGAGTAGGAGTCCCACGTGGCTGGCCCGAGATGAGGCCCCCCACCACGAGACTGACACAATGGCCTCCCTGATACCAGCCAACGAAGCCTTGGACCCCTAATCCCCCCCCTAGGAAGCCTAAAACACCTAACCCTGCCCCCTTTCAGATCTAATTAAGATCGGAAATTGTTCAGTGGCATGTAGACTGAGGGGAAGCACTTTGGGCCAGTGTGGACCCGGCCCATGGGTGGTCCCCACCATCCTTGGAATGCTAATGGCTCACGTATAGAACTGAACCTGGTCCTTCTGTACCAGTACATTAAGTTACCCCTTCGTAATCCACGAAAAAGACGATTCAACCCACTTATAGAACTGTCCCCCGGGCAAATAAATGAACCTGGTCCTTCGCCGACTGGACGATACACATCGAAGCTGGACGATGGCCCTCTATGTTAGAAATGTTCATGCCCTTATCGATGAGTGTCCGTGCTCATGTCATGTCCACAGCCATCTCCGTCACCATCACCGTCCGTCTCAGGGTCACTGTCCATGCCCATTTCCATCACGACGGTCACCGCTTCTTCCCCAACATCGTCTGTGAATCTGATGTGCTTGACGATAACTCCACAATCACTCCTGAGTCCCAACCATACAACATTAACGTATCAACAACATCCCCTCCACCTCGTTGGCATCCAGACTGCTCCAGCAACCTTCACTTCATTCACCTCTCTCTCTCTCTCTCTCTCTCTCTCTCTCTCTCTCTCTCTCTCTCTCTCTCTCTCTCTCTCTC